ATGTAATGCAAAAAATAAAAAAGAAAAGACAAGAAAATTCCCCTATGTCCCCTCATGTGATCTGTAATTTTGTACCAGAAGCCAAAGAAAAAAAGCTTAAACGTGAACACAAATCAGTATGATGTCACTTTAGTCTCAAAGCACAAGACTTTCATCAACATTTCAGCTGTGTGAAAAATTGGACCTTTTGGCTCAAACTTAAGCAAAATGAAACCTATACACTCACCGACCACTTTATACACTGGTTCAATTGCTTGTTAATGCGTTTAGGTAATCAGCCAATCACATGGCAGCAACTCAGTGTCTTTAGGCATTCAGAAAAAAAAAAAAAACAACTTGCTGAAGTTTAAACCGAACATCTGGGTAAGAAAGGGGATTCAAGACTTTGAATGTGACATGGTTTGTGCCAGACAACTGGTCTGAGTATTCCATCCATCCATCCATCCATCCATCCATCCATCCATCCATCCATCCATCCATCCATCCATCCATCCATCCATCCATCCATCCATCCATCCANCCATCCATCCATCCATCCATCCATCCATCCATCCATCCATCCATCCATCCATCCATCCATCCATCCATCCATCCATCCATCCATCCATCCATTTGAAATTGGTGATTTACTGGGATTTTTATGTTTTTTTCACAATTTTTACCTTTTTAAATTTTTTTTAGAGATTGGTCCAAATAAGTGAAAATATTCAGTGAGCCGCATTTGTATGGAAAAACAAGTCTTCATGTCAGAGGTCAAAGGAGAGCTGAATCCATGCCATGAAGATGTACAGTAAGGCAGTTCTGGTGGCAGAAAAGGTCCAGTCTGGTACTAGCAAAGTTGAACCCATAAAGCAGCAGGTGTGTATAAATGTCTAAAGTCAAGCACCAGTTTTAGGCCAAGTTATCAAATCAAGTTTTTTTCTTCACTTCAACAGATGTTTTCAAATACTAACAGGATGAACGTGCCACAAATTAATATGGTAAACAAACTTTATGATTAAACAGTCCAGTGAGTCTGATCATTATCTTAATGCCAAAGCAGAAAAATAAACAGAACCACATTTATGTGAGAGAAGCGCTGTTAATAAATAACACTCAAAGTGGTTGTGTCTCTTAATTAGGCGTGTGTTAAATCTGTAAAGCGGACAAAAGGGTGAGGAGAGAGATCCCATTAGTGTCAGAGCGTGATCCAAGGAGAGCTAAAGGGCAACAACAGCCTCCCCACCGCACAGATTTGACTACGGAAGATTTGTCAAAGACAAGAGGCTTCTTATAAAATAATATGCTTCCGACTGCGAGGCTCATGCTTGTCGTTTGGCAGCGCTGCCTTCTACATCACAGCACGGCAGGATGCTGACATTCACACCATGGAGTAAGCGTGATCAGCTCTCACCCAAGCAGATGAAGTGGTTTATATAGAAACTGAGAGGCAGTATCATATGGTTGCACCTGGTGACAGAATATGGTGAGAACCAAGCCTTAATAAACCCAGCAAGCGACTCCCTCTAAAGAGAGCAATTTAACTCCCTTTGAAATTTAAACGTCTTGTTTTCATCAGATATTTTCAGCCAGGCTGTATTTAGCTGTTTACCAGTTTGGGGGGGGGGGGGGGGGGGGGGGGAATCACTGAAGTTCAAAATGTCAATCCTTGTGGGTTGAAATCATTTTGCATCTTTGTGTCAAAACCAGCGGTGCCCCCCGGAATATTTTTTTAATGAGTGGGCCATGGGGGGGCCACCAAAAAACCCAAAAACCAGAACAGAATTTCAAGAGATTTATGTTGTCATATAAAGTTTATCTGACAAATACAGCAATACAGAAGTTAGAGAATCACCTTCTGGTAAATGGCCTGAACTAGACAACACTTTATCACATCTCTCACACTAAAATCATTCATACAGATTCACACAGATGATTGTAAACTACATCGTAGTCACAGCATGCCCTGGGCAGTAACGTGATGTAACGGACATGGGGTATGCGTGGGACATGTCCCCCGCACGTCCTGCATCTGTGTCCTCTGTCCCCTGCACTTTTTCCAGCCGTTAGAACTGTTTTATCTGGTTTTAACATGCGGTAACCTGTTTTTTCCGAGCCGTCTTTAAACACACCATGAGCTAACGATTGTGTACACCTGTGCAGGCTCCTGTGGATTACCGAGGGGAGGCGTGCTGTAGAAGAGAAGGCGAAAGCTGTAAGTTGTGTAATGCTGTTGCATGCAGATAACATGAGCTAAATGAAGACTAGTTTATACATGCAGATAATGTTAGCTAAATGATTGCATTATTACAGTCGAAAACAGAAGTTTACATACACCGCATAAAAATACTACCCCCCCCCCCACACACACACACGTATATGTTTGTTTCTCGACCCCGTGGGGACCTTCCATTGACTTCCATTCATGTTTTTTAGACTTTATAGCCTAACCCTGACCATATACTCTAAAATTAACCTCACAGAAACTTACCTGACCCTAAAACTAACCTAAACCTTGGTCCTAAACCTAACCCCACACCTGTAACATGCATTTGGACCCGTGGGGACCTGACATTGATCCCCACGATTCACTTCGGTCCCCACCTGGCTGCTTTTTTTTTGTAAAAAATACCCCATGTTGTAGGAACAACCCGTCCACACACACACACACTGTCTGATGTGAAATCAGAATCAACTTTTCCCATTTTAGGTCTGCTAGGATTACCAATTCTTTTCTGATTGTTAAATGGCAGAATAGTGAGATATAGAATTTTTAAAAGTAATTTTTTTATTACTTTCTTCAAAGTCAAAAGTTTAAATACACATTGAGGGTCTTGGGTACCATAAACTGTACGGCTTGGGTAAAACATTTTGGATATCCTATTGCCTCTCTCAATAGTTGGCAGGAAGTTTACCTATGGACACAAATACTGGTCAAATATATATTTGTGCTTGTAAAACAGGCTGCGTGACGATGAAGTAATTTTTGTAAGTCGTGGATGTGGAAATAGGAATGATGCAATTATGCAAGTTACAAATTGTTTTTGTTAGGATCTGTTTACAGATCCAAAGCAAGTATGAATGCAAGTATGAATTTTGACATTGATTGGTCAATGTTATGCCAGTCTCAAAGTTAACAATCCAGTTAGAGAACAGTTGGGTTTGGCTGTCAGTAGTGACGCATTACTGAAGTTGCTGGTTTTGGAAGGATAGTAGTGGGGTGCAATAGTTTTCAGTCATGTGACCCACCCTGACAGGCACAACATTGTGGTGCACATGCGTTCAGCCAAAAAAGTGTATTAATTTTTGATTTCTTTTTTTTGTTTTAACTTGATCTGGGTCAGATCTGAATGCTGTCCGGGTATTTATTAAATTTTACCATCTCTTGCTTTAATTAAATGGTAAATGGACTGTACTTATATAGTGCCTTTCTGTCCAACCAGGACACTCAAAGCTCTTCACACTACAGTGTGTGTCCTCATTTACCCATTCACACAGCACTCTATTAGGCCTCTACAAAGCTAACATGTACAATCAACCTATGGAGACCAATCAGTGTTAATCATTCATACACTGATGGGACACACATCAGAGGCATTAGGGTGAAGTGTCTTGCTCAAGGACACAACAACTGAGACAGCTGGATGGGGGCTTGAACCTGCGACCTACTGGTTCCAGGTCGACTCCCCTAACCACTCTGCCACAGCCGCCCATATTAATCCATAAGAAGAAGAAGGGTAAAACAAAGGTGGAAAATGTGTAGCCTACTCACTCAGTTTCTCTCTTTTATTTAGCAGCTGCACCTCAAAAGCCTCACTGAGGTTACATGGTGCATTTTATGTCACATAGTCATGACCATCACACAGATTGTTTAAGTCCTGCAATAATACTGTGTGGTATGTTTGAGTGACAAAGCAACTTTTTTTTGTGACCCATTAAGTCCAACTGAGGGTCATATTTGGTGAAAATGACCTGGACACATTTTCAGATTTCTGACTTTTGAAGCTACACTTTGGCAGCACAATGGCTCAGTGGTTTGCACCGATGCCTCACAGAAAGAAGGTCCTGGGTTTGATACCCGCTTTGGACCTGTCTTTCTGTGTGAAGTTTGCTTGCTTAGATTTTCTCTGGGTACTCCGGTTTTCCCCCACATTCCATAAACATGTACAATAGGTTGCCTTCAGGCCCAGGTCTCCCTTGAAAAAGATCTGTGATCTCAATAGTATTTACCTGGTTAAACAACTGTAAAAAATAAAAATAAAAAAATTACCTGCATCATCCTGATATGAGCGGTTCCAGCGATATGGCTTGATTTGTCTTCCTAATCAGGATAACTCATTGATATTTCATTGGAATCTTATTTTAGGATTATTCTAAATTGGAATTTTTAATGTAGATTTAAAGAGGAAACGTCAAACAATATTTAGATATTAAGATTTACCAGCTGTAAAGAATAAAAAATTTTGCAAACTCATTGAGAAAATGACAAAAATAAAACTTTTCTGCTCAAAATCATGCTTTTTAAAGATACTGTCCAAAACAGGGCTCCAAATAGTAATTAAGCTTGTATTTCCAATATTTCATTTAAACAGTCTGTAAAGTTTTTATTCATTATACTTTGACAAAAAACTATTTTTGCAAACATTTTAACCAATGCACTATAGCTGCCCATTTCTCCACTTTCCAGTGGACTCAATCGGTTCGATGTGATGCGTCACATATTTGAGTAATGTTCTGGTTTTACTAAAAGCTAAAAACTTTTCAACCTACAGCTTAAGCATTGGATAATATTTTTCTGTCTTATTTTAGCTAATCTAATAATATGAAACAAAACTCCTTTGCCTATTTGACAATGCTTACTCATGTATGCATTATAATTATGCATTTTTTAAGGATTAATATTGTCCTAAATGACATCCTTATTTCAGTCTAACAGGGAAAATGTGAGACAATAGTTTGTGAAGTGCAATCATGCAGTCTGAAATGTCTGAAAGGTTTTTTTCTTAATAACAAACAACATCTCAGTTTTTAACACCTCATTTTATTGTCCCAACATTCAAAAGTACAAATAATTTAAACACAACAGTTTTATGAAAAAGAAAAAACAAACATTTACAGCAAGATTTTTATTTTGTTTCCAGTTTCAGAAATGACCTAAACTAGCAAGGATAACATGAAGTCATTCATCGCAGTAATTGGATTAATAATAAGAATACTAAGAATAATAGCAATAATAATCATAATAATCATTGTTGATAATTGTTAAGTAATAACATAAGCAGGAGAGAGTAGAGAGCGCCGCGGTCGTGGGGCCCCGTGAACATTTTTTTTCTTCTTTTTTGTCTTTAAAGATTTTGTTTATAGATTTCTCAGATAGTAAATAAACACGTCTCCAGAAGGAAAATAAAAACTGACAAGAAGAGCCTAGTTCCTCTGTTCACTTTCCCTCCTCCACTACTGGCTGCGTTGTTCCTACTGGCAGGCTGCCACTATAAGGCGCTACGGGGGGATGGTGTGAGCCATAGGGGTCGGGCATAGAGCGAGGTGACGCAGCCCCATGTGTCAAACACCCCGACATGCACACACACAAACACACACACACACACACACACACACACTGAACAATCACCCCTGACACTGTGGTCAGATTCTCGACAAACATGCACTCAAGCAGACGCGCACTTGCGTATGGGCCCCCCGAACAAACGGTTTGCACTGCACTGCACTGCACGCACCTACACATCTGCTCCAAGCTAACAAACACATGGACGATAACAAACATGCGTACCAACGTGCACACATGCGCGCACACAAACACACGCGTAAGAGTTGAAAAGTCACACACCGTGTAGGAAACTCACACGTCAGAACATTCTACTGGGGTCGTTGCATATTTCAAGCTCCCAACGGCAGCTAGGAGCATGAAGGGGTCTGGTCGGTTTGTTGCTGTTGTGACATGAGAACACTTTGCGACTCGGATGGTGCAGGTGATGGTTGTATGATTGGGGGAGGGGGGGAATGATATCGAGATGACCCAGGCTTGAGCGAGGTGTTGGGAGATAAGGATGCGAGCGTGCGGCTGAGTGTTTTAACTGCTATCCACACACCTCCTTCATGTTTTCAAGTCTTAGCAACAAACAAACGAAAATCCAATTTTTTATTTTTCATATTTATATTTCTGGAACCATTCCCTTACCTTTCAAAATATATAATATATATCATATTAATGTATATAAAATATAGAATTGACACAATCCCTTTTTTTATACCTCCAGAGTATTTCTTAAATATAGCAACAGCTGCTGTAAATAGCAGTTTAGTGTGCAACTTGTCTTTTTCTTTAAAGATTTGTTGGTACGTCATTTGAAAACATGATCTCAAAAATAAAAATTTCTTGACTTTTCAGTGACTTCGATTGATTTAGTCCCGTGCAATGAATGACCCTCAAACAACAACTTTTAAAACCATTATTTTTTTTCTGTCTCTACGTGCTGAATATTGAAGAAAAATGTTCACTGAAAAACAGAAAACTATGCTTTCAGACCCACATTTTTGCATAAGGTTTCATCACAAAGCGGTAGTAAGTGGAGGGAGGGTGTGGACGGAGTGGCTTTTTTTTTAAAACTACACAAACTTATCACAGGTTATATTGAACCAGAACGACTGTTTATAACATTCTATTAAGACTAAACTTTATTGAAAAAGATCTAAAGATTTCATTTTTAACAAGACAAGGAAAAAAGCAATAGCAAATTTAACTATTAACTAGGTTATGCATAGCGAGTAACTGTTTCTAGTAATAAGGGAAGAGCGTCCCCCAACCCTCCAGACAATTTTTTTCAGTTTTCTTGACTTTTAGATATTTTTTTATATGGTCATTTTGATATATTGGTACAAAGCACAAATGTACTAAAAGTCCTCTCAGTGCAGTGGACTACTGGAAGAGCCTCTCCACTAGTCGCTTTGTTCCCTTTTGCGCAGAAACACCCCCCTCCCTGTACCAGAATCACGCAAATACATAGACAGTGAAACAAATAAATACATAAATACACTTATAAATTAGGTAATTAATAAATATATAATAAATACAAATAAAAAATAAATAGTTTGAAAATAAATAAACTGTCAAAAACAATTATCTTAGGCTTTTTGTTCGATTTCTTTTGCCGCGGTAGTTAACTGAAAGTTAATCCAATTTTTTTTCTCCACAAGCAACATGACAACAATTGAACAGTTCCTCACAATTTTTTTTTCTAAGTAACTGAACCACCACTTCATAATAAATTGTCATATGAAAAAGACAAGCTCAAACAAAAGAACAGTGACAACTCAGATAATACAGTAGATATTGTAAAACAAATGTAGACTATATATATTTATATATATCTATTTGTACACAGCAAAGAAAGACACAGTTGTCATAGATCCTGTTTGAGGAAAATATCTAGACTAACGGAACTAGCTAATCATCATTAAGTTTCGACAAACGTTTCACGCTCAGCGAGTAACCTAAAAGTCAGCAAGCCAAAAACAAACAAACAAACAAACTAACGGAAAAAAGAAATACAGTTTTGTTTTGTGATTCTTACAAGGCCCCAAATTTCATTGAATCTAGTAAATCGGCAAAGAAACAGCCTCACCAGATTTCTGGGCCAACATTAAACAAATGTCAAACAAAGAACAAGAAGCTCAATTGAATGCAAACATCAAAGTACTTTTTTTTTTTTTAAACAACACATAGAACAACAAACTTGGATATTTAAGATATGTGAATAATGTAGTTTAGCACCTACCATTGATCGCTAAAAGGAAGTTATTTTTGGATGTAAGTTCACAAACTTAGATCAAAAACCAAAAGAGATATAATGTATAGTGCGCTCTTTAAATGGATATACGTGAATATATCTGTACTGATATCCTATACTGACTGATGACAAAAAACAAAAAAAGAGAGAAAAAGAGAAACAAGTAGACAAAGGGTCGTCTTGCTTTGGGCTCTTAACTATAAAGTTTGTCAGGTCTCAGAAAGACCCCTTTCCCTTCCCTTTTGGGTATCGCTGTTGAATAATTACGCACTAGTACGTGTGTGAAAAATTACCAAAATCACCTGCCTCAGTTTGCATCCCTTTTTCATTTTCACAAAACCATCTGGTCTACAAAATCACAACCAACTCGGATTCACCAAAAAAAAAAATTAAAAATGAAATAAAACGAAACCTTTTGATCCTATAAAGTACCACGGCAGAACGACGAGACAAGGTGGTGCTCCCTCCCACCCGCCGCGGCCCCCCCTTTAGTTAGCCAGTCAAAATATTTTTCTCTTTTTCTTTTTTTTCAAATCCAGATTCCTGTAAAAATTCTTCAATAATTATTTTAATTATCATTTATAAAAATAGAGCTTTCTATTTATTTTTATCTTTTTCTAAATGCATTTTTTCCCAAGCAAAGAGATCTTCTCTTTGGCAACAGTGTTATGTGTGTATTTTTTTTTCTTAAATTACTGAACGTGTCATCAGGAAAGCTAACCCATCCCCTCCCTCGCCCCATCTCCCTGAAACCCAGTGAGGAAAGACATTATGTTTTGCTTGCGATACAAAACAAAACAATGTTAGAAATTCTTTTTTTTTCTTTTTTCTATATCTGAGATATTGGGATTCTGGGATCCCATATATATTCAATAAGGGGAAGTTTTTAAAACACGCTACAAATGAATGAATGGATTCACTAATTTAAAAAAGAGCCCCTCCCTTTTTCTGACAGGGAGGCATATAATAACAACGACAGTGGATCCGGATTTACAAAAGAAAATTAAATCCTGAATCAAGACAGAGAAAAGGTTCCAGCCTAAAAAGGACATTCTTTTTCTCTAAAGTAAGGGGATACAAGAAATTGCTACTGTTTTCCACAGAAGAGAGAAAAAAATCATCTGAACAACCACAACAAACAAAAAGAATATACAATAAAGAGAAGCCTGTATTATCACAGGAGCTTCTAAAAACTTGTGAGCGTTTTCGTCATTTAATTTTTGTACTACTCAGGCAACATTGGCTTATAGGTCCAAAGTTATAATATAAGCCATTTATAGTTCAATTTGTTCGATGGTTTGTTGGTTGATTTCTGTTCCAGTTGTAGTTTGAGTTTGCTTTGTTGGATGGCTGTAATCGGGTGGTGGTGGTAGTGACTGAAGCGGCTAAGGGACGAGTGGCGGAAGGGAGGGGTTGGGGGCAATTTTATAGCAGACAAAGGCGTTGGGCATCTGCTTCTACCTGTCCAAAGTTCAGGACTTGTGTGTCTTGTTAGTCTTGAAGGAGACTTGCAAGACACGGTCGCCCAACCTGTAGCCGTTGAGACTGGCGATGGCCATGGCCGCCTCGTCGTAATTCGTCATTGTGACGAAGCCGAAGCCTTTGCACTTGTTGGTGTTGAAGTCACGGATCACCTTCACATTGTTGACTGCGCCGAATGGCCCGAACAGCTGCCAGAGCACACTCTCGTCTGAATCTGGGGACAGGTTGTACACAAAGATGCACCAACCGGTGCCTGTGTGCCCAGGGATGTTCATGCCAACCAGGCTGGTCATGCTGTCAATGGTGATGGGAGAAAACCTGCAAGAGGAGGCAGAGCGATAGGAAAGAAGGCAGTGTTAGTGGAACAAGTCAGGGCATATAATATAACAGTTTGCCCTTACAGTGAAAAAAGTTGTTTCCTTTTGATAAAATGCACCTTCCAAAGAAAAAAACCCCCTCATAAACTCCATGGTAAGCCACTGTCCACAGCTAAATCACCAAACCAAAAACCACTAATCTACAACTCCTTCCTCAGATGAATTAGCAAGTAGAGTAAAAACTAAACCCCTGTAGTTTATAAAAATTGCTCAAACTCTGAAGTGTTTCTGTGAAGAGGTTAGAAGCAGTCCAGTTGTGTATTAAAGATGGTGCAGCTTTCATACAAAAATTGGCGTACGGACCACATCGGAAAAGTGTGTACACAGAAATATTTAGATTTATCAAACCGTGTGCACTCATGTTTATGCGCTCCTTTCCTCCATACATCCTAAATACATCCTAACAAACATGGAACTGTGCACACATCAGCCACCTCCCCCTGACACGCGTCCGTTTAAAAATGCAAACATGACCTGCAATGCTTTACTTTTTTTTCCTCTACGCAACCAAAACTGATGTCTAGATACAGGGCAATGAGGAATTTAAGGGTACGTGACTCATAAATGTTTCTAACTGAGGTAGATAGGTATAAAAAGGTTTTTGCCAAACTGCCCTCTGGCATTTTGCGCCATGCGAACAGAGTTGTGAAGCTGCTGTCAGAGCGGAGCACATTCGTAGGGCTAATGAAAAAGTTAAACGGTCAGGCATTAAGGTGGGAGAGTACAGGGAGGGACGGCTGCCCATTGACTCTCATTTAATAATGTTAGTCACCATTGCTGCATGAGAATTACACACTTTTATTGTAAATTAATTAAATAAACTGCGGGGCGTCAAACTACCGGCAGTGCACTTCCTAGGCTGAGACGTTTCCAACTTTACGCATGTGTTTAATAACATAATTAAGCGCAGAGGCACTCAGGGGCTTGGTTCAACTTAGGGACAGATTTAATAAATAGTTGATGGCAAGACACGAGTCACTGAGGAGCAATGGAGTGTCTGAGCTGCGGTGTAGGGGAAGTTGGTAAAACTTGGTGTTATCTGGATGCAGCAAAGCTGTTTTAACATTACACAGCTATTTATGTCAATGTCCGCACATTGTTCACTTTAGAAAATCAACACCCATGACTTGTTTGGAATTAATTTGCTGACCGGAAATCATTTTCCTCTCAGTGTGAATGGAAGTTCATGTTAGACAATTCAAATGCATTTTTTTTGCACCTCAACTGTCCGTGTGCCTTGCAGGTTTGTGGTCTCTGATGCATGTTTACATCTACAGGTGACAAAAATAATGGGGATTTCACATTTTCACTGGACTGAAGTTGTTGTGATCATTTTTGAGGTGTGTTATATTTTATGTTGTATGACGTTAAATGTGGTTTATTTCATTGTTCAGCTTTTAACAGTAAATGATCAAAATCACAGGAAAATGTGCACAAATGTCACTTTAGTTGAGAAAAACAGAACAGTCATATTTCTGTGTATTTTAACAAGTTTAAGTATTTTTAGTTTCGTATTGTTGATTAAAAACATTTGAATGGAGACATGCACAGTCTTAGATGTCGGCAGGTGAAAAAGGTGAGTATATTTGGGCAAAACTTCACGCGACTTTTGTTTTGGTGCATTCCAGTGTGTGTGGAACCTGACGCATGCAACCTTTTATTCACTGTTGAAACATAAGACGTCAGCTCTTTTTCCAAAATGGATTTCAGTCAGTAAAAGCAATTTAATGCTATTTTTTAATTAATAAATTGGTTGAATTAACACTGCATTAATTTTGTATCAGGTTGTTATGTGAGCTGGGTGCATTTGCCACATTTCGATTTGCAGAACAACGTACTGCAATGGATTGTGTCCGAACACAGCCTTCTGTATAACATTACTACAAACATGCATCTAAATAACTAGTGCAAAAACCATCTTGGTATAAAAACTGAAACTAAAGTATTTAACCATTAAATTTTTTTTTGAAGTTTTGAGGTTTCTGTCAGACTTTTCTATGGTGATTTCTACCGACTCTAAACACTGATTTCACTGATTGTTGTCTGCTTCAAGTAAAATATTGAGCTCACTTAACCTCTCCACAGAACCCCACCTCAAACAATTCAAACAATTTCTTTACTACTAAAATAAGATGGTTTGGGTGTGACTATGTAACTGGAACTAAACCGTCCCAGTGCTCCTCAGCTCTAAAAGGTCTCCTGTCAGGACTGACGACACCGCTCCCTGTGCTGAGCTGCACTTCTGCTGAAAAAGACGCAGATGAATCTTCTGTTTTTGTGTCCTCGAGTGGCTTCTTTCTGTGCCAAATTGCAGGAAGTTGTTGAAGTAAACCATCGCTAGAAATTCATCAAAGATCATGCACCATTCTGCTAAATGTGTTCTCATTTGCCTCATAATCTTCTCCTTTTTCTCGTGATGCAAAAGATTTGAATCCTCAGTTGACTTCACTTAATTGCCTTTTCGCTAAAAGGAAAGAAAAGGGGGGGGAGAGGAAAAAAAATCCCACCACTTATAAATAAAAGGTAAATGAAATAAAAAGGTTCATTTCTTATGCCACCTCTTTCCAAGAAACGACTGTAGGCATTATTGGAAGTGCTTTAATTGAGATTTCCGCTTTGCTGCAGCTGTCTCAGAGAAGGCTGCTTTCTTAAGAAAAAAGGAGGAGAAAACGGGGAGCAAACTAAATGGAAAATGGAAGGAGTTTACAGCCCAGTGGTATTAAGGTACAAAGTGTATTCCTCCCCCTCATGCAGGGTGTTCTGGTCTCTTCTATTGCAGAACTCGTGGCACTGATCGATAGCTCTGCTTGCTGCTTGGACCCTCAAGCCTTCTGTTTCTAGTGATTATATATGGTCGGCAATCACTTCGACCTTCCTGCATGACTTTGATCCTGTGAAGTCTGTCTCTGGCTTTTGTGCTTGTTTTTGATTTTAAAAGAAGCCACTAGAGTAGTCAGCTTGTTAAGTGTACAAGTAGGTTTTATAAATGCTGTACAGTCACTTATTTTTGATATTTAACATTAAATGTGCTACAGATTAAAAAAAAAAAGCCATGACTGAACTATTTGTATAATACAAAGACAACGTTACTTTCATCACAAGATTTCACCAACAGCATTTCTTCACAACAAAAGTGAGGGAGTTGATTATTTAAGAAAATTTAAAATATTCAAGCAAAAGCCACTACATCCTCTGCTGGGTGAGAAAATGTAAACAAAGGATAGTGTTTTTAGGTCAGTGGGTGTGTCGTAGTAATGATTTGGAGTCTGGCTAACACCTCTGCTGTCAGGACATGGATATCTGTGGTGTGTGTGTGTGTGTGTGTGTGTGTGTGTGTGTGTGTGTGTGTGTGTGTGTGTGTGTGTGTGTGTGTGTGTGTGTGTGTGTGTGTGTGTGTGTGTGTGTGAGTGAATGGGTGGAAACATATATTTGAGTACACCCATGATGAAACACTAGCCAATGTTACAAATGAGAACAGAGGTTGCATAGCAACAGAGCAGCTGACCAAATATGTATTCTGTCCTTTAAATCTAAACCGTTCCAGCTCTTAACACTAAGATTACTCAGTAACACTTGTGACTTGATGACATTCAATATAATCAGCCCGGCTGAATCAGACACTATTTTCTACTTTCAGAAGGGCATGCACTAAAGGGAAAATAGACTAATATTTCATCTGTATTTACCAAAAATCTTAATGTTGATATTTGACCAAAGAAAAAAAAAAGGTTTAGTAAAAAAAAAGTCTACTTGTGTTACAATTTTTTGACATATTCAGCCATGTGACTGATGGTGTTCCCTGTGCTTTTAACATGCAATACACCATTGTCAGCACATCAAACATCTATCACAACTGTAGCTGCTGCTCAGAGTTATGTAACATATATGATAGCAGGAAAGCAAATTGAAAGATGAAGGCAAAAGAAAATTAGGAAGAGCAGTGTCAAGCAAAGCTTGAGCTATCTGCAGTGAAACAGCATTTCCTGTTTCTAGCAGGGATCCAAGTTAACCCAACCTCATCCCAAGTCTCATTTTTTGATCTGCATAAGAACGGAATTACAAATCATTTAGGAATTCTAGTCATGGCTTACACAAAGAAGATATAGTACAACAAGTAGAAAAATAGTACATTCTATCAGTAAATTGAGAAAACCCTTAAAGGGACGTTGCTTCGAAGTTATAGTTACAAGGTGATGAGGTTGGAGAACCTGAATCCTGCAGAAAAAAAAAATCAAACAACAAAACAAAACACAGACTTCGAAATTAAAAGTTGTACACTAAAGAACAAAATCTGTTCAGTACACAGAATCAACCCAAAACAATCCACAAACCATCACTTGTCATAATCAAACAAAGCAAATTCATCAGCACTAAAAACAAAGACGGTTTCTGTTTATTACACCTGAAGTGGTTGGAAGGGTTTAAAATGCCATTTCAAGCTAAAGGAAAAAAAAGCCCAACCAAATCAAAGAACCAAAAATGCTGTTGACCTTGAACAAATTGTCAAACTTAAAGTGACTGCAAAACCACAAAAAATACAAATTAAGGAAAAAGAACATAAAAAATATGTTGAAAAATCATTGAGTCAACATAGACATCTGGCATTTGGTGAAGTTTTTAATTACCTCTTTACGCCATAGGCCATATTAAGCAAATTGTCCAGCCTGAAAAGAGAAGGAGGGTTCTGGGGTTAATGGTGGGCAGATGGTCGACTCAATCAATGGAACTAATGTAAAGTCCCTGTAGAAACTGCATGGTTCTCCTCACTCAAGAACAAACAAACCCATTCATAGTTGGTCCATTATACTGAGGAGCCCCAGCAGAAAATGTTATCATCAGTCCATGAATCTACAGTACAATCAGTATGGTCTGCGCTTGCTTTGGTCCCACACTGAACAGGTTTTGCAACTTGCTAACGCCAGAGTAGTCAATTTTTCGTTATATAAGACAGTGGACTGGTCAGAGTTTAACATAAGTCAGACACGGAGACATCATGGCAGGCAGAGAGTGAGCATTGCATTTCCTCAGGCGTTATCCCAGAAAGGCCAAAATGCCACAAAACTGCAAATCATTGTCTTGCTTCACATGCAGAAAAGTGCATGTGGGTTTCCGTACAAATTTTGCCACCACACTGATGGTTTATTAGGATGGAGGTTAATGGATTTTTCTTTTTTGGATTATCTACGTGCTTTGATTTGTGTTGACTCAATTAAGAGAACACCTGAGATGACAGGAAATGATCCAGAGTTCTGTCAGTATAATGGTTTGGCATTTGAATGAGAGTGGCGATGGTGATTAGTAGGGTTTGTATGCGGCGAAGTAACAAAAAAAATAGTACAACTGAAAGTTAAACTAGCCATGAAATCATGAATTGAGGTCAGGGTCATCCTGTTAAGTGATAATAGGTCAGGCGGAAAAGCGGAGTGTTGGTCAGATGATGTCCTCTGTCTAAAAGGGTTAGCTTTTGGGAGATGTTATGGTTTGAGAATAATTTCAGCCTGTGGGCTCCGGCCTTTTCAGTCAGCCAGTGTAAATTACAGTTTGTATTTGTGTGTTGGCTTCAGAAACCTGTGGACTCTGTGAAATGCTGGCCCTCATGGATGGATGCAGTCTGCTTGGTGACTCAATGACCTTCATTTCTCACTTGGCTTTGGCCTGTCTCATGTCTTATTAACTCTTCTGGCCTAATGGACAGAGGCCACAGCCTATTGAGCAACAGCTGGCTACTGAAGTCTCATTCCTCTTGCAAACACTACAAACTTTGACTTTGACTCGACTCTAATGGTTGTTTCTCCTTGTCCTTTGCAGTTCAAAAACATTTGGGTTCTTGCTAACACACTCACAGGTGCATGAAACCATTAATATAAATTTAATTTAAAGAGTTCTGTGTTAGAAGGTGGAGATGTATGGTAGGATTTTAAGCTTTGACCAAAAAATAATTATTTTTTTGAAAGTAATACATCAATAAAGATATAATTTTACATTATTTGTTAGTTTATATAGAATGGCAGGAAAATTGAAGATTGTCTTACTCTTTAGTGTGATTTGGATAATTTGGAAACAGAAGAACTTATTACAGTAGTACATTTTAGAAAAGGGTGGGATTAAATAAGTTTGTACTTTTTATCACACATTTTCCATTTTGTTTCTTTTTGTTATCTTATTACATTATTTTTTGCCTAATTTTTAAATACATATTTGAAATAAACAATGGCCAGAGTTGGTTTTGTCAAAAAAAAAAAAAAAACAGTACATATGTTTTACTTGTTCTCAGAAGTCTTATTATTTAAAAACTGTTGATTTGAGTTTGTTTGGCTCTTGAAATCCAGGTGAGAAACTAAAAGTTCATGGGTGAATTTACTAGTCATGTTCTTCAATCACTGACTAATCACTATTATAATAACAGGTAAATATTGAGTGTTTTAGAGGCTAATTTGCTTTTATCAAAACAGTGAGTACAAATGATTGGGCAAGATACCAAATCCTATTCGCCCTACTCTTTAGTGTATTAGTGTATGTCGAAGAAAAAATAAATAGTGAGTTTGGACAGATAAAGAGAAGTGGTAATAATTCAAATGCCATATTTACAAACACACTTAGCACAAAAAGTAAAAAACTTTGGTAGGTTATTTCTTTGTTGTAACAATGCTTCTTGGCAATAAATCTTGTACTTTTGGAAAGCCTGTTCATCTCTCTTAAATGGTGCCACATTTGTAAGGAACATGCATTTGTGGGATGAGCAGTAGAGCTGAGTATGTGGGTTGAGCACATAAAATAATATGCCAAATCTTCTCCACCAAACTGCTGATTTTGCTGTTGTTATTTACACTTGTTTTGATCTTCTAGTACCCCCAGGTGCTGCCAGTCAGGTGTCTGATATAAGATTTATTGCCAGAAGTATTATTACAACAAAGAAAAAATCTACCAAACACAAATGTCCTTACTTTTTGTGCTAGTTTACTTTGGATACAAACACATAAATAGACACAATATTGCAATCATCCTGTTTTTGATAAAACAATCATCTCTGTCAAAAAGACGACTTCCATAGAGGATATATTGTTGGAGCCTTTTGTAAAAGAAACCAGTATCAACCCAAAACAGTTTATGAGCTGAGTACAGTTAGAAACCATTAGTGCTGTACCAAACGATTATTTTCTAATCGATTAATCTAACGATTATTTTTTTCGATTAACCGATTATTCTAACAACAAATCTATACATTATTCTGATGTGAGTGCACTGGAAATTTAAAATGTTTTCATCAAATTAACAAGAACAGTTCTTTAATATTGTAATATTTTCTGTAATTGTAATATTATTGTAATTGTAATTGTAATATTTTCATAAAAAACTCACCACTCTTATGCCAATAAGGTCGCAATGATGCTTTTAGGTACCGAAATGGAATTGCATGAACATTCACCTGGTAGTTATGTAATACAGCGAATCGATAATAAAAAATCTGCATCGACAAATTTACATAATCAACGTCATCGATTATTTCAACTAATCGGTGCAGCCCTACCTGTGACGTCCACGGCCTACCCCAGTTATCACTACTGTGCACGTGTGTCAAGGACAGAACGACAGATGTGGCAGTGGAAGGTGTCAAAGCAGTTTGGAGGGAAAAACAAAGTAAAGAACAAAAAAAAAAAAAGCGATTAATCGATTATTAAATTAGTCATTGATTATTTTTATAATCGATTAGTTGTCAATTAATCGATTAATTGGTGCAGCCCTAGATACCATCAAAGTCTACAATTACTAGGTGTGCAACGGTACAGAAAATCCACGATTCGGTTCAAATTTTAACTTAATTATTTAAATTAATTCAGAACATTTGTTTAACCTCAAAAGTACAGTTTTTAAATTAAATGTTGCTAAAACAGCAAGTTTCTCAGTGGATATGCGCTCGACAATGCAGCCTAGGTGGAGTAGTCGAACACAGATCCACTGATCCTTCAACACAGAGCATCTTCAGAAGACAAGTTGATAAAATAAATTAAAAAAATTTGTATTGTTCGATGCAAGTGTGTATTGAACCTAAAGCACTGTATTGAACGGTTCGATATGGGTACACCCCTAACAATTACCAAAAACAAAATGTTATTTCCCCTCATGATGATGTTCCATAGCATTAAACTGCAGATTCACCAGAATAAAATAGCTTAAAACTGTTGCAAAGAGCACAGCAATTTTGTGGGACAACTTGAAGTCATCATCTCTTAGTCAGATGTTTTACGTTATAATCTTAAGCATCGAGTAAGGGAATGTTTCCCTCTTCTATGAAAATAAAGCAGATTCTGGTGGAGAAATGAATTAACCCCCCACACACACACACACACACACACACACACACACACACACACACACATACACACACACACACACACGAACACTCTGTACAAAACATGCATGACTATATTTTGCAACATACTGAAGCAGGTATGGTTATCAAAAGAGGAACAAAACAATAAAAAATAGGTTTATTCAAATATTTAAGCACACCCAATATAGCATAAGAACCACTGCTTAGTAGAGCCTTGAGCTATAAAGATGCTATTTAAGCAGCGTGCGTTTTTGTGTTTGCTATTTTATTACCAGCTTTTATTGTTTTACTAATGATCACCAAACTATTTGTATTAACGGTTTTAACTAAAACTTCCTTTGCCTGTGAGCGATAATAGAATAACAATTTTCAAGTCAGGGGCAATTTAACATGGGGGGTCTTCGTGAATGTAGTTAAGTACTTCATGCGCTAGCTATCCTTCAGAAATTCGTCTTATAAGGTAAGATTGATCTGAGCTGTTACAGTTCAGATTTGAACATAATAGAAACGTCTGACAATTTAAACTATGTAATTTATCTACTTAAATGATTAATATGAATTTTAAAGTCATACAACCTACAATTGGGTAAACTCGTCATAACTTCATAGCTATAGAACTTTCTGAGTAATTCATGAACCTATTCAAAAAGTTATACTGAGTCTGCATATTAGCACTTTTCTTAGAATTGCCATAAGGTACGAAAATGGCCCAGGAACAAAGAACCATACTGGATGGAGGGATATACGGAATCATTAAAAGTGTAATTAGCCTTTTCTGTGGGAAGGGAACAAGCAGTCTGCTTTGTGGGTAAATGAGTCGATTGAAGAGGAAGCTCAGAGGAGAGGTGCTCCATGCCCAGGAGCATGAAGACATCTGCTGGCCGCCGGGCCACAGCAAAACAACCTGCTGCTAACCCTCTCTCCTTCCCTTTCTCTATCTCATTCTCTCTCTGTGTCTCTCTGTCTCGCTCTCTTTCTCTCACTCACGCACACACACAAATACACACTGATTCAGCCTCACCATTGTAAACACTCTGCCAGCTCTTCACACTGCCTCTACAAGCGCAATGTCAACAATGGAGCCTTTGTGTTCTCCGTCAATGTGGTCTAATGGAGGAAGGGGTGCTCCCCCCCCCCCTTTTCTTTTTTGAAACAAAAATCTGTTCAATTAAATTTGGCTCCCGCCCTGGATATAATCAGGCTAATTTGCTAATTACTACCATTAGGTAACGACTGAGGATCAGAAACAAGCCGGGATGTAGGGCTTATTGTGTTGGAGTCGATTATGTTTGTTGTCTTGGAAAGAGACCATACAAGCACGTTATACATTAACTTGTGTTGCAGCAGGCCAGCATGATTCATAATGCCATGTAAACATAATTTTCTGATTATTTTAATGTGTATAAGCTCACGTTTAGTATAAGCAATAATCAAATAGGCCTTTATAAAGTTTTTATATCACAATGTGAACATGTTTACCGTAGCTGTTGTATGGCTGATGACTTTTTATGCATGCCTTTTGGTTCCTGTAGAAAAAAATGCTGCGTGTAGAAAGAAGGTATATTTTTGAGGGCGAGAGAAGAACTGAAGTAAAGCTTTACGTCCTAATGGCTAAACGAATTGAAGGAAGCTTTTGAATAGATGCACTGGACTTAGAGTTGTAACGCAGAATGGGAATAATGTAATTTATAAACTAACCTTGATAAAAGAAAATGTAAAACAAGATGTGTAGAACTTTTATAAACAACGACAACAACAAAAAAGATATTTCATCTCAGTTTATACATTACAATTTTTTTGAACACACCAACTACATTCCTTCAAAGAAATTTTAGATGTGCTCTGTTGGCTCGTTTGTTGTGAACTTTTAAAGTTTGTTTCTTTATTTTAGCCTTATTTATTTAGGTTTATTTAGCTTTTAACAACTTAACATACTATAAATCGTACATGTGTAATGTTTTTAAAAATGTTTATATAAGTTTGGATAACCATTTAGGATATTTAGAGTTTGAATAGATTGTCTAATAGATTGTTAGCTGCAATTAAGTCAAGCTAAATGTACTTTATTCTATAGAGAATTCTTATAATTGGGTTGACAAGTTGTAGTTTTTCCTTTTCCATATAAAACAAGTAAGAGTCCATCTTTAACATTAGTAAATTTAGTTTACGTTTTCTAGCTGCCAATCAATGAACATTACAAAAGGTTACACAAAAATTAAATAAATGTGTGTTTGGTAGATTATTTCTTTGTTGTAGCAATGCTTCATGGCAGTAAATCTTATACTAGCTATCAAAAAGCCTGTTCATTTCCTTTTTAAATGGAGCCACATTTGTAAGAATCATGCATTTGTGGGATGAGCAGTAGAGCTCAGTATGTGGGATGTGCACATGAAAATTTTGCCAAATCTTCTCTGCCAAACAGCTTATTTTGCTGTCGCTATTGTCACTGGTTTTAAGTATCTGGCACCTCCAGGCGCTGCCAGTCAGGTACAATTTATTGCCAAGAAGCATTGTTACAATAGAAATAATCTACCAAACACAAATTCCCTTACTTCTTGTTAAGTATATATGTAAATAATAAAACAGAACATGTACTAATATTGTTGCGCATAACTAACCTCAACTTGTCCCTTTGGATATAACCTGGGCTAACATACAGACAAGTGTACTAAAACTTAATTCACGCTATTGTTCTCTAAAATGTTTGCAACAACTGAAACAAAGAAAGTGCTCATCAAGTTCATTTCTAACTTCTTAAGAGTTGCGTTTTGTTGGGGGAAGGGCTCAGGCGCAGGGAGGAAGTGTCCTGCGGTAGTGAGTCGGGATGAGAAGCGACAGCTCTCCTGCAGAGCCTGTAAATTGGTTTGGCGTATCACAGACACACAGCCACGCTAGATCGCTCAGGTGTCACACTGGGGAAGCTGCGGAAGAGGAAAAATACCTTCCAAACCCTGACTTTGATGGAAAGTAAACAGCGCGACTGGCTTAGTGCTATTGTAAGAAAGAGGAAAATGTATAAGCACATATACTGCCGCCGATTCTATGACTTCCCTGTTGGGCCTGGGAGTTAAACTGAAATGAAAATGATGTCAAGGAGTAAACTAAAATGATTTTATATGCTGTATAGTAGCTTCTAAGTTTGAAAAAACAAACAAACAAACAAACAAAAAAAGTAAGTGGCATAAAACGTTTGTCATTTTTATCATCTGTATACATAACATTTAATTCTGGCTGTCACTGTGCAAAAACATTTGTTACAATTAATTTAGCAAACTGTCTAAATGGACAAATTTTATTATTTTATTATTATTTTTTTAAAAACTTTATTAAATATAGAGACTTGTTTACTAAAAGCAGCAGATGTCTCTGAAGCTTAGTAATCACGATGTCTTTTTGTCAAACCACAGCAGCACAAAACATATTGTTCATTATAAGTGACAACAATCTGCTCAACTGTAGCTGCAAATTAAAGCATCTGTTATTTCATCAATGACGCATTTTAACTTCAGCAAATGCTTTGGTTCAGGGTTACTGATGTGATGGCAGTGAGATGAAATGAGTGGACACACGTGGTTGTGAATGACAGAACCCCACAGTCTCTTATGAACAGTTCCTTCCTCGCTGATCTGGGCTGAACTGCCCAGAAACACTCACTGGTTTATCCAACACCTGCACCAGGTGCAGCTCTCACAGCTGCTGTTCAATCAGAGGACATACAGTATTTGCCAAAGTGAGCGTTCACAGGAGAAGAGGAGAAAAAAAGGTGTCTCACTGTTGTAACAGACAATGAGATGAGTCACGCTCTGAGCGTAGGTGTTAACATCCTCTGCTTGAACAATGTCTAAATTTCATTTCGATGCAAATATTTTCCATATTAGACCTGTTGTTTTAAACAGTCATGTTGACTGAGAATAATTGCTGTGGATTTTGACACTTGCTGATGTCATTCAGTTTCAAATTTGTAATGGCTTCATAATATGATGCTGTGCACAGACTGCAGCAGCTTCAGTCTTTTGTTAAAAACAGTCTTTTTTTAATTACTTAAACCAATCAAATCAGATTGAAGATCCTTGACCTTCTGGGCTATCATCAGAAGTGACTCCAATCTTTAGTCGGGAAATCTGAAATGTGTCTGGGTGGAAAAACAGCAAATGAGGAGCCATTCCAAAAAGACTTGAGCTGTTTCTCAATTCAGGGGTTACAGCCCACGTTGAGTGTAAGTTGTCCAGGTAGGCTGCATAAAACGGCTGTGAAATGAGACGGTTTAGTCTTTGTATGACCTGTTTGTGTGACCATGCACCGTCCCGTTACCAAGGTGTTCCATTTTATATCACATGCCTTCAAACGTCCTTTTACTGGAGGTATAACTTCACAAAATTCAACATTATAAAAAAGGTACACATGTATAAATAATAATAATAATAATAATATTAATAATAATAATAATAATAATTTTGGTTTAGCTTCAGCATCAGTACTTATAATTGCATTTTAACATCTCACAGCCGCATAAGTTTCATAAGCAAAGTTGCTAAACATACATTTAAAAAACAATTCTTCAATTTGTGATAAATTTCCTAACTCGGCCTTAAAAAAAAAAAACTTTTCTCCTGTTTAGTTTGCTGACGGTGCAATGAATCCTGGGATATTGTCGACCATGTAGGATACTTAGATGCAGCCTACGTTTTTGGGTAGGCGCCTACTAATTGGAACGGCCTATGGCGCAGTGCAGTGATGGCTGACAAATGTGCCCTATGTTGGCTGCAACCCCTGAACAGAAACGCACCCAAAATTGCAATTTTTTTCTTAAATTATGTCCTCTGTAATAAAAACAAATAGCTCTGAAACAAAATATTACTGCTACAGGTTTGTGTTGGGTCATTCCCATTGGCCTAACACAAACCTGTTCATTGTTGTGAAACAAAACATCATTTTCTGCATTTGTAAGCAAAATACTAGGTCTTTACATCTGTACGTAAAATAACTGAATACTTTTAAATAAAATTTAGTGTGGAAGTCCTAATATTGTTCACTTTTTTTTATCATTACACACGCATTTTCTTCTTGGGAGAAAGATCACTGCTGTACAAAAAGTTGGAAAAGAATCTATGACTAAAAAAGGTTGAAGTTCTAATGTTATTGGCAAAATGAGGAAAGATTTTACTCTCAGTACCAGGGGCATGTAAAATGGCTCCTCACTTGGTTAAAAATCAGTGAACAGTGTACCATCAACTTTACTTTGAGAATAAAAAAAAACAGTTTTAAGGACATCTTCACAGTCTTGTTGTAAATCTAGTTCCTCTCTGCTTTGCTCTGTGCTGCTGGACTCACCTGAACCTCTGAGCCTGGTGGTGAAGTGGGCCCGGGTACCGGCGGTTGGGGGATTGATAGAGCTGTGAAAGAAGGGCTTGGCTGGTCTTCTGACTTGGGTTGTTGGCAAACTTGACCGTGATGGGCTCGGCAGCACCCGATGGCTTCTGGCCGTTTAGGCCCTTGATGGCCTCCTCAGCTTCTATCCTCTTATCAAAGCGGATGAAGCCCACACCTCGGGAGCCGCCTGCGGGGCCAGCAGATCACAAACAAACAGGAGCCACTTTTACTTTACAGGGTTTATGTAAAATCCTTGGACACTTACACAAATAAACCCCAGTTAGCAACAAGTGTGAGAGCAAGTTTATCTAACATTTCCACGTAAGGGTCTCTGCAGTACATAGGAGGAGTTTCTTGTTGTGTGGGCGGAGTTTGTCCTAACTGCGATTGGCAGAGTTCTTGATGTGGGTGGAGTTTATCCTAAATACGATTGGTGGAGTTTGGATAATAGGTGGAGGTTAGGTGTGGGCGGAGCTTGACAAAACCAGGACTGATCAGATTCACTTGTGGGGCAATAAGAGGAAATAATGGTAACTGTAAAATGATTGTGAACATGTAAGCATAATTTGACTTCAAATTTCTTCCTGTCTTGAGTTAGTACTAAAATTATTTTATTTTAAAACTTCAGCTGCCTCCCAGCTTCCTCAAACCCCACCCAAAATAGTCAATCCAACCAATCACGTCTTTAACAAACTACGCCAACAAAAGTCAAACAGACCAATCATGCCTTGGACAAACTATTCCCACAAAACAAGAACCTAATGACTGCAGAGACCCTCTTCTCAACATTTCAGACCCCGGATAAATGACTTTCAGTCTCATTATGTGGAAAAAGATGCAACTTTAAAAAATTATATTCATTTAATTTTGAGGTTATGAATTTAGGCACTGATATACTGTATATCCACACTGCCTGGCAAAAGAAAAAAGTCACCACCTGGATTTAACTAAGCAAAATGGGTACGAGCCTACTATTGGATAATTACTGCATGGACGATTATCTTTCAGCTGGCAGCAAGTTATTTAACCCCAACTGATGCAATGAGTTGCTTCTCATTTCTTAATCCCCCATGTCGAAAGACACATCCCATGGTCGTGGAAAAGATATCAGTCTGTTTGAGAAGGGTCAAATCATTGGCATCAAACAGAGAAAACACCTAAGGAGATTGCAGAAACGACTAAAATTGGGTTAAGAACTGTCCAACGCATTATTAAAAACTGGTAGGATAGTGGGGACCCATCGTCTTCGAGGATTCACCCATCAGGCCTCGTGCCTCCTGTACAAGCCTGTGGGGGCGGTGCTATGATCTGGGGTTGCTGCCATTGATCAGATCTAGGAAGCTTATCCAAACTATGCCACAGCAAATGTGTGCTGTAATCAAAGCTAAAAGCGGTCCAATGAAATATTAGAGTGTGTGACCCTTTTTATTTTGTACTTTTTTTGGAGGCAACTTTTTTGGGGGGCCAGGCAGCATGTATATTTCGTTGTCCTTGTTACAATGACAATAAAGATATATTCTATTCTATTTATACGTAGTCTGTTTTCTTCTGCGACCTCAGATAAGCGGAAGAAAACGGACAGACTAGAGTCATAATGGCAACAAAAACTTGAAATTAAAGTCATCCTAAAATAAAAAGGCTGCGTATTTAACAGTGAGGGTAAATAAAACCCACCAACTTTATTTGAGGAAACAAAATAAGCCC